TAATAAAAATAAAAAACAAATAAAAATATAAAAAAACAAAAAATAAATAAATATAAAAAACAAGAAATAAATAAAATTGAAAAACTGATCAATTATTATCGCATTCGTTTGTCCGTAATGATATATTATTGTATTTACTATTGTATTTGTATTTGTCTATCGCATTTATCCGCAATTGTTCATAGTCGGTTTGGACATGTTGAAGTGGGCACTGACTTCAAGATATTTGAAGTCAGTGCTTAAGATATTTGAAAAAACTGAAAATTCTCAAAATACTTGAAAAATTTTGAGATCGTTTAAGATATTTGAAAAAAAATTTGAAATTGTTTAAATTTGAAATTTGTCAAGACATAAGAAGAAAATTTTTGAAATTGCTTATTTAGGATATTTAAAAAAATTTAGAATTGTTTAAGGTATTTGAAAAAAATTGAAATTGTTTAAAATGTTTGAAAAAAATTGAAATTATTTCAGATATTGAAAAAAATTGAATAATTTCAGATCCAGGAAAAAAATTTGAAATTCTTTAAAATATTTGAAAAAAATTGAAATTGCTTAAGATAATTGAGAAAAATTTTGAAATTGTTTCAGATATTGGAAAAAATTTTTGAAAATTTTCAAGATAACTGAAAAAATATTGAAATCGTTTAAGATGATTGAAAAATTGCATCTTCATACGAATCGAATGAAGGTGAAAGATTTTAGATGAATTCAGAAGAATTCATTGATAAATTCATTTAGTTAAGAAGGAAATTATTTAAAAAATCATTGCATTCTTCAAATAATTGAAGTGCTTGGATTTGAATTCATCCAAAATGCATAAAAACAATATTTCAGAGGCGGTGGCGGGGTCGGGAGGGTGGGCCACCGCACCGAAATGAGCAAATTGGCGAATTTTTTTAGGTGCCTCACTGAGCGTTCACGATGGATCGCCGTAGCGACCAACGAAATTTTACATCTGAATGTTTTGTAAAATTTCGTTGGCCACTACGGCGATTCATCGCAAAACAGTCTTTGTCCACCCGACGTCTACGCGAAAACAATCTCTATTCATCAAAAAAAAATAGAGATGTTTGAAAAAAATTGAAATTGTTTAAGATGTTTAAAAAACTTTGAAATTTCTCAAGATATTTGAAAAAATTGAAATTCTTTGAGATGTTCGAATAAAATTGAAATTTTCCAAGATATTTGAGAAATTGGAGACGGAATCAACAGGAATAATGATTTCCAGAAAGATTTGAGGTGACTCTTTTCAAGCGCATTGGTCGTTGTGGAGAATGGTTTGCGACGTCGGGTGGATGGCCTGCTACCACAGGTGGTAGTAAATATGAGGGGGGNGGGGGGGGGGGGGGGGGGGGGGGGGGGGGGGGGGGGGGGTTAGAATCAGTTCCAGGCCAACGTCGGTGGGGTGGTTGGGGGGTTGGAGAGGGGTTGGCCTAGGCTGATTTTGTTACATTATTTTATCCAATGGCGGGATGCCATTGGATTCTGTGATTCCATCAGTTACTGTTCGATTCATTCAAAAATTCTCATTTCGTTTCTAATATTTTAGATTTCAGGTCGATGCGGTTTCGTTAATGGATCTAGTGAACGATGGGGTGTGCCAATGGATGTCAATCGGAGAAACAAAAAAATGTTCAGAATTGTGAGTTAAGCAAAATCCAGTTGATTTAATTTCATATAGAGTTCACTAAAAATCGTCTAGTATTGCAGATGGACGAACAGACGAAGGACAATCAAATCTCGAGGAAACGAACGGACGTGGATCGAGTGGCGAACCAATTCGGAATATTATGCGAGAAAACTGGTTAGCCGAAAACAATGGTTGATAAATTCCTTTATCCGGTGACAAAACCATTCTTTAAAGATGATCTTTATTGGAATCAGAATATTAAAAATCATCATGCGATTCAATTACTGACGTTGCACTATTCTAATATTTCAATCAAATTGGTGTAAAATGGTTTAACTCACACACTATACGAGCGGTTTTTTCTGAGAGAGTTAAACGGCCTTGTATAGCAACTCTAATTTAATGCATTTACTGGACAAATCTCCCTCATATCCACGGATGCGGGATTCCAAAAGGGCTATTTGTTTAAACTTCACACCGACTGCTGACTATTCGCTGACTCTGACTAATTTAAGCCGCAAAGCACGGCAATACAATATTCCGATAGTTCATCTTGTTTATCGATCTATGAGAAAGTGATTTTGTTTCTTGTTTTTGTTATTTGTTTTGAACTCATTTCATCTGCTGCATTTTTATGATTGTCATTTATTTGTCTGGAGAAAGGTAATGTTTTCATTTTTAATCAAAATGTGTGAAATGCGAGTAACAAACAAAATTTTCGTTTCTGACTGATATTTTCTTTTCATTGATCCTCCCTGAAGCTATTCATAACATTGCAGGTGCTAATACTAAGCATAGGTGAGAAATGCCGAACTTACAGAGCATGACCCCGAGTTTCAGAAAGTGACATGGTACGTCAGTTACAGAACCGATAACCTCATACTTGGCGAACTGTCACTCCATTCGTAGTTGTCGAAATGTCTGTATACCTTCGGATGTAAGAAATGAATAAGGAGATAAATCAATTCGAAATCACCTCATCTGGATTGCAGTGGTGTACTACAGAGTAGGTGAATGCACGTGATGATGGATAAAATTGCGACCGTTCTTTCCATTCAATTCACTTGTTACTTTGATTACTTTCCAATACTAATTGCCCAGTTTCCAATCATATACTGAATTTGAACATTCAAGTCATGTACCAAATCCAATCAAAACTAAAGATATATACCACCCAGGCAAGGGAGTGAGTGGTGTTTTCAGGTTTACTTAGAAACATTGCCATTTCTTCACACCATCGGATTTTCAGATTTACTAGTTCCGGAGAAGTACATGTGTTTTCGGACAGTTTTGCTAGTTCCGGTTTTGCTACATTCATAGAAACAGCTGATTTTCTGAAGGTAACTCAAGTAGCCTGGCGATACTCATTTCAATGTACATTATCTCTATTGGTCAATGTGTGCATTCCTTAGCAGTATCAGACAACATTTTCGAATTGTAATGATGAAACTATCCGACAATGAATTGACGACAACAGACTCGGACAGTGAAACCAGTTTGGATGTAGTTGAATTGGAAACTGATCAGAGTGACAAGGAAAAACGCCAACTAGTCAGTATTAATCATAATTTCGAGGACGATTTAGAGATGGGAATTCGATGTTACTTTTCAATGATATGTTCTTCGTTATATCCACATCCGGATGGATTAACTGTTGAACAAATTGCTAATTACATTGTGTAAGTTCATCATTTATCGAAACGATTGTTTTTAGAGCTGAAAATCATCACTCTTCAAATTATATTTTCATTCATTGGGTGAACATCAGTTAATTGAATCATGAACATTTATAGGCTTTCCAATCCATTCCGTTATCATCAGCTGAATTCAGTGTGTAGAATTTCTCTACTTTCTATGATTAAGACTGTTGCGATTGATGGAATCCGTTTACTATTGTTGCTTATTGTCCCCTTTATGATTCTGTTGTGTCGGGAATGTCCTTGCCTAGCAGAAGTGAGCGATGCAGTCAACCAATTCAGATTTCCGTCACATTTTTTCCAAATTTTTAAACTATGATTTGATTTTTATCGAATCAGCAAATTTGATTCTGATGGCTTCTTTATTTGCAGTAAAGATTGGTGCATTAGTCCGGATTGTCTCGCACAGATGATCGGTTTTGTTAGTTTCGATAGATTGTTCGATTCCAGTGCGATGAGTGATTATATTGAACAAGACTTGAATGATAAGAATGAAAAAGTTTTTCATATGAAGAATCTGAAATCCATTGAGCACATTCAACAATTCGTTGTCGAATTGGAGCCCATCAAACGAGCAACGTACGTTTCTCGTCCTCAAAGTTTTTGCTTGAGTAGCTTCCCTTTAAGAGTAGAGTTTATCTTCATTTCATTGGTCGTATAGGTCTCTTCTTTTGCAACATTCCATGGGAATGGATATCACTGAAAGATTTCATTGTCATTAACCACTTGTGCATTCGGAAGAATTTAGAAGATTTCAAAACTGTGACGTCAAGAGAATGAGCGCTTTCAATATTCCGTATGCTTGAATCTATTTAATTTCGCATTTGTTGCATTGTTCAGTTGAAGAATTTCCATTGAAAGTGCCTATAGGTAAATGTTTTATGCATGGATATGTATTTCGAAATTTGTGTAAGTAAATTTGAAGTTGAATCTGCATTGCGATTGGCCAGTTTTTATTTTCAAGATCGATGATCATATCGGAACATTTTCTTGTTGTGAAGGGGATCAATAGTCCCTTTTCGTTGATGTGCAATTGCGATTGTGATGAATAGTGCACGTTTCAGATCAGATAAATCAATTAGGGAACGAGGAATGCGTATGAGTGAACCGGAAAACAGAGCAGCATACATCGAAGTTAGTAGTAGAAGAGTTTTGAGTAATGTTGTAATTTGTGTGTTGCGTGGAACGGAGAATTTCGGAGATCCCGGTTGCTGTTGCTGTCTTTGTGCCATATGATCATTCCCATACCAGACGCATATAAAATCCAGTTGATGATAATTTTTTCATTTTCGTGAGGATATTCTGCTGCTCATAATCAGTCCAAACACTCCAATTTGTGGTCCAAACACTGCTATTAAAAGTGTCATCCATTCATCAATGAGTAATTCAAATATTCGGTTCCATGATAAAGTGATGCAGTCAGTACGAAATCTGCAACAGTTTCATATCCATTCAGGGGAAACGTCGTTTGATAGAACTCATGAAAGAGTTTCACGGTACCACTGTTGAGGTGCCATATGACAAATTGCAACTTCGTTATAAGGAGCGATTTGGAGTCGAACTGAGCAGAAAGGTTTATGATACTTCTATCTTGCATGCAATTGTTTGGGTTTGTGAGTAGCAAACATGAAATATATATTGATGGAATGAGATTCGTCGTTTTTAACTTTTATGCTAAATGCTGTCCATTTTTCGTTCATAGTTTTTTTCACAATTGCTTTTTAAAACTTTCAACCCACTAAAACTCATCCCATAGAATTTTTGTTGATTATTTTGCATTCAAAAATATCCAACATAATTGATAGTGTTTAATATTCTTAATATTCGTTGAGTTGCAATTGTGAGACTGAATGATTCAGAGGACGGTGATGTTTCTTTTGAGATCGCTTTCTGTGTTGTCTCATTTTTGAATGTGAATAGGAATTAACGCGTTTATTCGGCAATAAGAAGATTTTGGAAGTGATCGCACTTGAGTTTCATGGTGAAATCAGTATTATACAGGTATATCCTCTTACACTGATGCTATCCAGTGCTCATGTGGAAGGTTTGTTGTTGCTTATCTTATTCTGAACTGTCAGTGATCATCACACATTTTCTTTTGAACGTTTCGAAATTCTTTGATATTAATTCATCATTTGGAAAACCGTATTCTCTTGAATGTGGGTCCCAAGTCGTATATTTTTCGCTGATGTTCGAGAGAGGGCTCCTATTCTAAGGGGCATCTTTATTCGAGAGGATGGTTTTATGTTGAACACGAACCATCCATAAGATAAATGTTTTACGAAATTTTTTGCTTTGCTAGAGGGTCCATTCATGGAGAACGGCCTTAAGTCGAGGAGCTCGTTTTTTATAGTCTTCTGAAGAGGGCTCATTTTCATGAGAATACAATACATATAGTGTTGTCTCATAGATTACACTATGCCTAAGCATGTCTTTACTAACGGATATTTTCGCTCACCAGTTCCCAAAGCTGACTTCGTCTAGGCATTCTACATGCACATTTTGTTCAGTTTATTTGCCTGAAGTAAACTCATGTACATTTCATGTTGAATACCAAGCCATTATTGCTGTCTAAACATTCCATTCGATGCAAAATCTCAAGGCGGGTAAAGATCATTAACTTTCCAGCCCCTAAACGAATCCTTCCTTCAGTTTACAAACAATTATTACTAGTAACACACTCATCAATTTGTGATTCTTTGCAGACATTGTCGATGATAATCCACCTGTAAACACGATTGATAACGCATCAGGCACAAAAAACTTGACTCTGTTTTCATCAAAGGAATCTGTTCAACGCGATGGACAACAAATCATTTCTGAACTTACAAATAATGGTTCGAAACTGGGTATAGATTTCGTCATGTTTTGTGTGTCATCTTTCATTCTTTATTTAAATTATCAGTCATCTTGATTGTTATCTCCGCAGCTTTCTTTCTATGTCAGGGTTGAAGCAATTCAGCTCCGATATATATTGGAGGAACTTCTGGTTCTGAAGCTTCTCCATTGCTTTAAAGTCTTCTTCTGCAACATGGATTTTGGGCGCTTTATATCACCAATAGGTTTCCTGTGTGTCTTGTTCCCATACAAAATTTCATGTATGCATATGCGGGACGTCCAATTCATTAGTTGCGTATTGAACCCGTACTGTAAAATATGGTATATTCAGGTAAGTATGGTTCTGATACGACATTACAATCAGCTGTCGAAACTGAAGCCTCGACTCTTACGGCACAATCGAATCGTTGTGTTCAACCATCACTAAGACTCTTTATTCATGGTGATCGAGTACTCTGTCAGTCGACTCATCCCGTCCGTGTTCAAGTATACTATTGTCATTGCTGTGCTCATTGTCAGTGTTCTGATTTTGATAACTCGAAGATGTAAACGACCAATTGAATGTTTTCGAAAGCATATAACCCTATGTAATGCAACAAATTAGTTCGTCATATGCATTTATTCACAAAATTAATTTTATCAAAACGCTTCTACTCATCTTACCTGGGCACGCATTGTACTCTATTCTATATGATGCTACACACTTCTGTGTGCACGATTTTGGCGTGGAATTCCTTCTGTATATCAGCATTGTAATCACCATGTAATTATTACTGTTCGTGTTTTTACTATTATTGTTACTTCTGCTGTCATGCTGTTACGTTAATAATAATAATTACTGTCTTATCGTTATTGTTGTGGTTATCACGATTATATTATCAAAATTGTTATCGTTTTTACTTTCAGCATTTTCGGAGCTTTTTCAGAATCGAAAATTTTTTCAATCATTACCATTGTTTTTATATTAATATTACTTCGGAATAAAAATTATTAAATTCGAAAAGAATGATTTTTTGGATATCGTAGATCAGGAACGAAAATTTTGAAAAGAAAAAGTTTTTGGATATTTTAATTCGGAGAGAAAGATTTTCGATTACTTTAGCCAGGTCAGAACTTTCCGAGCCCGACCAAGATTTGTCGAGCCAAAGTAATTCGCCACCCGGCAAATTTAAAGAGAATAGAACATTTTGCCAAAAGTGTAGAATAGAATCATCACTCAAAGTCAACATTGTATTTACACTTGAACGATTCAGATGAAGATTCCACACTGTCACCATGCGGAGATAAAAAGAATCCAACAGTGACCTGTATCCATTAAGATGCCGAACAGATCTGACAGTATGAATTGACTTCATCGCATACAATCGCACCGAGATAAACTTCCCTGTGGAATGAAGTTTCAAATATGACCTTCAAAGGTTATAATTTTTTTATCAGAAGTTAAAAATTACGAAAGTGTACAGTAGACAATGAAAATAACTTTCAGCACAGCTTTTCATACTGTAAATTCAGTTTAGTGCAATAGAACCAATTCATACTCTTTCGAGAGGTGTTAATATCAACCGATTATGGCGACTAGTTAGATCTTATTCAAATGCTCGTAACTTCGGCACTTTTTTACNGGGGGGGGGGGGGGGGGGTCGCACGCGAGCAAGCTCGCGTACAATGATAAAAACATACGCTCGTACACTACGAACGACGCTTTTACATAGACCGAGGCTACGCCTACTGCGCATGGCCTCAGCCTAACAATAAGCCTGAGCCTGAACTCGCTTGCTAGCCCCCGTTGTGACATCGAGCGATCTGAGGCTACGCTTAGATGAGGCTGAGGTCACACTTAGGCTGAGGCCATGCGCAGTAGGCGTGGCATGTGCGGGCGTGCTTGCGTGCGACCCCCCCCCCCNGCCACCAATTCATATGTTCATAAATAAATTTATTCGAGCTGTGTAAAACTTGATGTGCAATAGTGTGTACACTTTCTTCACGGAACACAAGAATGGACATCATAATTCACGAGTAGGCGACAGTGACGAGTGACTGTTGCGGTTGCGTTTATTTACTCTGAGGCTTGCCATATCTCCTTGTTATTTAGAATGACTGCATTCATTTCACTTGTGCTCAAGGCTCGACATTAAAAGATAATTTACTCTTACTCAATTATCAAACCTCCCTGAGTCCATATCTTCCTTCCTTCAGAAACTTATGTAAAATACCAACCCAAAACTGATTCCAATGGAGCTTCTCATGCGTTGCAAAGTGCATCCATATTCATCACTAATTATGGTTAGATAAACTCGATTTAAAGTATAATCAATGTTCAAAAATGCATTCACAGTCCCAATTATGCGCATTTCTCTTTAATTTGTGTGCACACTTTCTTCACAGAGCAGAAGGATGGACATCATAATTGGACATCATATGCAATTCAAAGCGCTACGTCGGGCACAAACAGTCCAGATCATCGAGTGGCATAAAACGGATTTACCACCATTATTGTATCTTCGTTATTAGAGTGGTGCCGAAATTTCGACGGTGAAGATGTGGCATTTGTCCCTAGTGTCTTATAACACGGGATGATGTTTGAAGTCAAAATGTTGTGTGATTCAATGGTTACCAACTTTGGTAATCCTGCAGTTTAGGTCAAGGAGGAAAGGTAGTAGTATATAACACACACAGAACATGCGTCAGCTATGGCACGCATGAAGACATTGCGCTACAGCTCTCTCCGCATTTTAGCAACGTATTTCTCGAACTTGTAAGGATCTAATTTTTGGTTCTGGATATTGAGGGGGTTATTAGGAGTGTTCTTACCAACTCTAATCAACATCGTTTGTTCTGGAGCTAGCGGTAAAAACCAGTATGACGGTTGT